GACTGACATCCTGCAGCCTAAAATCTTCGCTTTTTTGAGCCAGGAAATAATCTCCATATTGTCCTCATTGCAGAGCATGAACATATGGTATATGTGTGTTATCCATGTGGTCAAACATTTAAAAAAGTTAAAATATGGATTAGAATGTCTAACAGTTTACCATGGTGGCTGAAAACTGAGATTGCATTAACTATTCTGCTTCTTAAGATAAAATGAAGAAACAGCATATGAAGTGAGGTATAAGGATACAATACACTCCACTGTGCAGATCAAGGTTTCAAGTTATAAATTATATCTAAGGATGAAAACTTTCAGTTTTCCACTTCAGCCATAGCATTTTGATTGTTACTGTAAAAATGCAGTGTTAAAGCTGTGCACAAGCTGTTTATATACTCTGTTAAGCTGTTAGTCATAATCTCTTTGCTTTTATGCATTTGTTAAGCAACAGGAACATATGTTGCAAGCTCAGAAAGTCATTAGCCACACCAAAAGCTGTGACTGAGCCACTAAAGCCAAATAAGGCAATCAATCTACTTCAGTGTCAAAAACTTCAATTGCACCAGTAGCTTTTGTTTCTGTATGCCCAGGATAAAAATTTTGAAGTGTAAAGCAATAAAATGTGAAGATCTGTTCTTATTTCTCAAGTAGAGACTATAATAAGTCCGAAAAATGTTAAACCATTCATTCTACATCACAAAATGGTGAATGCCATAGTTTCAACCACTTTGAAGTGATTGAATGCCATGGTTTAGATCACTTTTTGAGCCATTTAATACAGTGATTTGAATGGCTTTAAAGCCATCAGCCCTTCAGGCATTAACCCTAGCAAATTCAGCGCTGTGATTGGCTCTGAATATTTGCACCTGTTTAGATCAGCCACATCGTGCAGATTCAAAGTCCTGCTTGTATATTCATTAGAAAAGATAACAAACAGCAGTAAGAACAAAACATTGTCTGGTAAGAAAAGTTTGAAGCAAGGGCCCTCTCCTAACATCAGGACAGGGGCAGAAAATGAAACCACTTTGTAATGGTTTGCCAATCCACACTTTGTTTAAGTATTTCACAGAGACCAAAAAATGCTGCATGGACACCCTAAGTGCTCAGTCCTGTACAAACTCTTTCTTTGTACCTCAGAAATTGTAAAATATTTAACTGTCCATGAGAATATATCACATGCTGATAATGTCATGATGTGCATCATTCATTCTTTATTGCTTCATGTACACTGTCAAATCTGATATTATCAGGATTGCATGCAAATTTGCTCACATCAGAAATGAAAGGACACGTCTGCTTTGCTCTTTATGTGACATATCCTAATCCTGAGAATGACATTAACCACTTCTCTAGCATTTCTGAAAAAGCCTTGATTCATGGTCTGCTGACCTATACCCTCCTGACCATCTATGCATTTTCTTGCACATCAGCTTGAGTAGATTCTTCTATACTGTTTTATGTTAAACTTCAGTTTTTCTATCCAGACTGTTCATGAACTTCAGTACTTTCTTCTCAGAGTGTCAATGCCCTCAAGGTGAACAAGGATCATGTCAGATGATTCTTCCCTGATATGCTTCTGTAGCATCACAAAATGAGAATAATACTACAGTATGTAAAGAGCACTCCTCTTACTGTGATTTGGATGGACAACACCTCAACCTCTTTAGGGTGCATCAAGCCCTGAGATCTTTAAGTGAAATCATGCTGATCTTTTATTTATTGTGAAGAATTTTGGCATATCAATGTTCTATAATACAACTCTGATCTCTGAGCTCTTCTGAGTGGCTTTCTGTGCATTTAAAATGCCAGCTTGATTGAAATTGAGAGAAAAGATGCTCTGAGCTGGTATGCTGGGTGGTCATGCCAGGAAGCCTAAAAATTGATAACACCCAACAGGCAACTCCTTGGGTCAGATATATAGGGTCAGATATGGTTGCTACTCACTAGTCACCTCTAGCGCTGACAAAAATACATGTACACCATCAGCTTTACGTGCGTGCATGTCCTCCATGTTTCAGATGATTTCTAATGCACATTTATATCTTTTAGATGGAGAATTGAAAACTGGTTTACAGAGATAATCCTCAATCATTGCCAGCAGCTCTGAAGTCTGCATGCAGCAGTCGCTGGCTGCCACTGCAGTATCAGTGACAGCACCATCACAGGCAACCTCACTTGATATGATGCCTCCATCCAGATAATCTGTGTAATCATTCTCTATAGGGTGCTTGCAGCCTAATGCGATGATGATGTGACTGTCAGAGTCCTCTGTCGATAACATAATGCAAACTGAGCAAAATGCTGTGAGATTGCATGTGATCACAGTTAACATTCTCTCAGGACAATAATGAGTTAGTGAATCTTGATGCTTCCATGGGAACCAGCCATGACTGGAGATTAAGAAAGTGATTATCTAGATCTTTGATCCTTGCACAGTTTTTTCCATGAGAATGCCAGCAACACACTGGCTATGGAACAAAAATATACTGAAACAGCTGCAGTAGTCTCAGCCTTAAAGCTCTTTATCTACAGCTGATCAGTGCTTATATCATTGACACCTACAACATTTACGATTTCTGAGGTACGAAGAAGAGTTTGTGTGATACTGAGCACTTAGGGCATCTATGTGACATTTTTTGATACCCGTGGGACAGTTAAGCAATGCATGGGAGAGTGAACCATTACAAAGTGGTTTCATTTTTTGCCCCTGTCCTGAGGTTAGGAGAGGGCCCTTCCTTCAAAGGTTGCTTACTGTGTTACATTTTGTTCTTACTCAGGTTTGTTATCTTTTGTAAAGGGCATACAATCTGGAGTTTGAACATGCATGACACGGCTGATCCAAACAGGTGCAAATATTTAGAGCCAATCACAGCACTGACTTTGCTAGAGTTAATGCCTTCAGGGCTGATGGCTTGAAAGCGGTTCAAACTATTATATTCAATGACTTCAAAGTGATTCAAACCAAGGCATTCGATGGCTTCAAAAGGGTTCAAACCATGGTGTTCAATGGCTTGAAAGTGGTTCAAAACATTGTATTCAATGGCTTGAAAGCGATTCAAAACATTGCATTCAATGGCTTGAAAGCGATTCAGAACATTGTATTGAATGGCTTCAAAGTGATTCAAACCATTGTATTCAATGGCTTGAAAGCGATTCAGAACATTGTATTGCATGGCCTCAAAGTGATTCAAACCATTGTATTCAATGGCTTTAAAGTGGTTCAAAACATTGTATTTAATGGCTTGAAAGTGATTCAAACCAAGGCATTCAATGGCTTCAAGGCAATTCAAATCAAGGCCTTCAATGCCTTCAAATTGGTTGGAACCATTGTATCCAATGGCTTAGCAGTGCATACCTGTTGAGCGCTGAACGATTTCCTGTCTATGGTTAAGTCCGTTTTCAAAAACGTTCAGTGTGTAATTCCTGAAACTGAACGGGCACCCAATTCTCGATAAGGAATGAGCGTTTGTTTCCTGAAAAGGGTATAGGCGTCTACTTCCATGTTAGGACACGGCACTTATATGTTTGACTTTGTGCACGTGATTTGCAAGAGGGTTGACCACCTCAGCTTTATCAGTTTCTTATATGTTCAGTGATGTTTATATTTGTCTCTGATATATTTCACTGACGGTCAGCTCATCAGAAACAGATTTTCTGAGTATTGGTTGGCCTTGTTCTGGACATTTTATTTTGCTGTTATATCTGGCCTTGGCCATTCTGGTGGTAGAGAAATCCTGCAGTCCTCTGTGTACTGATTCCATCTCAGTGTTGGTATTTAGGAGAATACTGCTTGGAAACTGAATCATGTTGGAATGACAACTCTGAGGCACTCATATGATTTTTTTTGCATTTGATGGCTTCATCATTGATGAAAGCATGCACATTGTGGATGGCAACTTCTAAATGGGGTAAAATGATCATTCAGACACTCGGGCATGAAGAAGATGCATTGAGGTGAGAATAGCCAGTTTTTCAGGACAGCATTCAGTTATTGACTGCTCATTATCCTTCAGACCTTCCATACAGGGTAAAACTGGCTGACTTCTATGATATCATCACAATGGAGAAGCGGGCCATTGGTGGGAACCATTTTCTGAGGATGGTTGTATCAGTGTTCAGAATCAATTTATATTCTGTGAGTTCTCTGATCTTCTACTCTTCATCATTCTCACGTGAGTATTCTGCTATAGTGAACCATTTTCTGATGTGTCTGTGTGGAGTTTGCTCAGGTGAGTGTCAAATTTGTAGATTGCCAGATTGAACATGGTATATCCAGGTGTTTCTGTCTGTGGAGAGGAATATCTCCATTCCTTGGAGGGCATCATGGTTTTGATCGTGATAAAGGTGATGTTCTCTTATCTGATATGAGAAGTTCTTATCACATCTGGGAAATGAGTGCCGAGCATTCACATGCATTTTTTGCATTTTTCCATCATAAATGTAGCTGAATTTTGTGTTCCACTTTTCTCTTTGACTTTTGCTCTTCTCTCTCTCTGCTCCTCTCTTTTGCCTCTCCATCTGCACTGCTTCATTATCTCACACATGTCCAATCACACTGTCTCAATGTCAATGAACCCAGCATTGATCATGTCTGATATCACTGCTTGCCAGTGACTTTAAGAAAGAATGGAGGCTTTGCTGCACTGCATTCCTCATGCTCATGTTCTGATGACCATGTGACAGCCTCCAATGGATGCTACTGCCATGAACATTTGGTGAAACCACTGCACACACCTGTGTGATGTATTGGTAAGTGTCCACTCATGTTACAATGTTCATTTGAATCAATTAACGTTTGCCAGACTAATGTGTACTTTATGCATGAGGTCCTCACTGGCCTGGGCATCGAAGTTTCTGACCTTTCACTGAATGTGCACAAGTTGGTCATGATGATTCACACCAGAATGGAGATGATGGCACAGTATGACCAATTTCACATCCTTGCACTTCATTGAGTGTGCACCCTCAAAGTATCACCAGTCCAACTGACCTGAGAGACAGCAATGTTTATCTATGAGATGGTGGACGATCACCACCTGGTGGTGTTCATCATTCATCATTTGTTTTTCGACGACCAGGGTGACATTATCATCGATATCCTGGAAGCTGACAGTGCAGATGTCGAATATCATGAGGAGTCTTCCAGTGTGCAGCCTGTAGCCAGTTCATCAGCTGCGATCACCTCTGAAGCAGCTGAAGATTTCATTCATCGACCATCACTACAGCAGGAGTGACCATCGCCATCATGTGCAATGGTTTCATTACCCAGTGGTGTTATGGATGAAGAGGTGACACTTTCAGCTTTTAAATCAATAGATATTGCTGACCGTGCACATCATGATGAGCTCTAGCTATCTGGGTCTGGGTTAGGCCAGACACCTGTGGGTGACGTTTTGATGGCGAGTATCATTTCAGTTATCACTAATTATTCATGAACATCTCATTGTTAGGACTCACCGATTGATGGTGACGAGGGGGCACTGATTGAGGATGATGAAGTGGCATCCATTGCACATGACAAGCCATTGTCGGTTGAGCATGATGAGGAAGGGTCTGTGGCTGATCATGCTGGAATGGCTGAAAACCCATCTGAGTCTCTAATATGTTTTCACTTTTGTTTTAATAATGTTTGCACTCATGTTATTATTCACAGATGTTTGAGTCAGTCGGCTTTCAATGGTGGAAGGACTCGGAGTCCGAGGATAGTGTTGAGGTTGAAGATGAACGTCTGGTAAGTAACATTTTTGTTATGAGTCACCGGTTATTGATCAAATATTGTTAGAGAACTGCTGATGATGCTCCACTGTCCATGAACATGAATGCCTTCATCCTGGGACCAGCGAGTTGCTGGTGTGGTGGTCATTTTAAACTGTTAACTCATCATGAACGATAGCTTCTGAAACTGTCCCCTGACATGCTGACCACAGATACTCCTGCAGCAACCACTGCCATGAAAAATGTGCCAGGACCTTCCTCCATGGCTCTGAATTTGAAGTGTCAGACCTCAATGCTGCCAATTGCGACACTGTCCACCAATATTGTGATTAATGCTGAGGCAGCTTCTGTGGTAGACATTTCATTAGGCACTCGAGAGCACAGAAACTTAATGCCAATCATCTTGCAGCCTCAAGACATTTAGCGAGCCTTGGGACTCATGTACGTGTGCATCAAAAATCTCACTGGTCACTCAAAGGAATGATTTGCTGAAGTGTGGCATGCAGATCCTCTCTGTGGAAAATGTCAAACCCATAGCTGTCAGTGCATTTGGGATGATAGTGCCTACTCTTGCACAGAGTGTACATCATGCAAGGTGGAATGCAATTTGTCAAAGTTAGATGGCATCATACAACATAGTTATCATATGTTATTCTTATTTCTCATTTTTCGTGCTGATAGCTAACAGTGACTTTGTTAGAATTTTTGCAGTTTGCTGGCCTTCAACAGGTTATGCCCAGTCATCCTATCCTCATTCAATGGCCTTTGTATGGATTGCCACAGGATCAGCGAGGTGTATTACTGCCTGAAATCTGGCTGGACCTTCTTCCATTGTCCCTCAATCTGACATTTGTTAGCAAACATCCAGATAGGTCATCAAAGATGTCAGCCTCGACATTACAGCATGGTTGAGCTTAAAAGAATGCTGACACAGGGCCGTCCCATTCACTGCGAGCCCAACCAGCCCTCAAGCCATACATTTTGATGCCGTCACTCCATCCTCGAGGTATGAAGCAATGTCAAGACTCCACTCCTGGTCCTTTAACCTTGACTTGTCGACCGCATGAGGGTGAAGATGAAGATGAACATTTAGATTCAGCCTCACCTGCTCAGATTGACCGACCAAAGCGATCTTGATGGGTGGATTCATCAGAAGATGGGTTCAATTTGGGCAATGAAGCGCAGAATGACATCATCCATGATGATCACTATGATGAGGACCATTCAGAGGAGCCAGCAGAGGGTGCGAAGGGCAAGGGCAAGGAGAGGGTGAGAGATTAGAGGGTGGTATCTTTCAATTTCTTTTGATTTGCAGTTTGATGCTGTGTTTTTTCTCCAGGGTTCAACACTCTGGAGATGTACTGGGTATCTCTTGGATATGTGATCTTAAATCAATGTAGACTTGGTTCTTTGGCTCAGGATCTGGGATTCAATGTCGCAATGGATTTATTCAATAAAAATGGGCCTCACGAACATGTTCATTTGATCTGCAGTTTTTTGAACCACTACCATTAAGTGTTACACTAAAATGCAATGGTCATCGAGCATATGTCCAGGATAGATCATCGATTCTCCTTATTTGGTGGTGGATAATGAATACCCTCACCCCTCGCTCTCATCCTCATCGTCCTCCATCAGTACAATACAATTCTCGTCATTCCTTTACTGCTGCAGTAATGTGCATGTCTGCTTCGATGTTGATGCTTTACTTCCCAGTCATCCCTTGTGCTCTTGAAGGGTGTCAAAGAGATCAGCTGCCCTCAGCACCTTGCAGAGGGTATGCTTGAGGGAAATATTATCGTAATGCAGTTCTTTGATCTCATTCTCAGATAACTGGCCATGAATAAGTCCATCCACCTTCTGAAGTTCATTGAGCACCATCTCCTGTGAGGGTTTCTTGCTTTCCATAAGTGGAAAAAGACCAAGTCATAAACCTTTCAGAGTGCCAGAATTTCAGTTTGATGATGAACTGCATGACATCTTTCATTGTGGGCTGCTCGACAATTCCAGCGTACACCATATCAGTGCAAGTGAGATACTAGACAAGAGATCTGAAGTTCTGAATCAGTGTTGAAGTTGTCTGTGGTATTTTTGACTTTGCGCATTGTTTTCCTGCTTCTTTCAAGAGCTTCAGTGCTTCAAAAAATTGAATCGGGCCATCTCACAACTTCTGTGTGAAATCACAATTGTTCGCGAAGTCCCACATCACCTCCACATTTTTCACCACTCGACCCTTCTGAAACTGATTACTGAGTGCTTGTCGATTGCAGAAGAAGTCTTGATGGTTGATCTTCTGTGCTTCTTCCTTCAGAGATTCGAGATATGCTTTTCAGTCATTCGGTGATGTGAATGTCATTCTGTGCTTTGTGAGAAGAAAATCAGAATGACCGTAAGTTGGAGAGCTGAATATGATGTATTGATAAATCAGAGTGCTGAACAGATGATACAGTTGATAATGTCAGATGTCTTTTAGTGCCAGCCCATCATCTGAGTTGTAGACTTTTTAAGAGGTTCCAAACTCACTGAATGGCATGTGGTGATCACCTCTGGCCTTCATCACTTTCTGTAGGGCAGAGGATCCACTTTGATCTGGTCTTTGAATGACATCAGCTGCTTCTTTGATAAGGGTTGTGATGGTATGTTTGCATTGGTCTTCTGATAGCTTCAGCAGATCGGTTGTTTCATTTTCTGAGCAGTTTTTGGCTGCAGTTATGACATCAGCTTCACAAACAAATGAAGATATAATGGTCACTGCAGAATGGGTAGATCACTTGGAGGGTGTATCCATATGATGATTAGTCTCTGCCTGAAAATCGATGCATTTTTGGTGAAGCCATTTAAGAGAGTATGAGTGGATGCTATCTGGATGCCCGAGTGAACTGCATTTGAGGGCTTCGATCAAGTCACTCATTATTCCTGGAGAGAGCTAGTGTGAAGCCTTCTCAATGTAGTCATTCAGTAACCACATAGGTGTGTGCTCGTACATATTTCAAGTTAAAGGTAGAAGTAAGGCACCAGAACTAAGATGCTTGAGGAGAATATCGATGAATTCTGTTTGCAGATTTACCATAATGTGATTCATCACATCCATCTAACAGAGCACTATGTATATCAATGATGATCTGCATAATTTTTGTGTTGCTTTTGGCATCAGATATAGGTGAGTTGACCCTTGCGTGAAACTGATATTGGTGATTCAGAGTGAAAGAAGAGAAGGTGTTGGAGTCTACGATGAAGTCTGCTCTTATCAAAAGTTTGATCTTGACTGTCCAAATTAGACATTCAAGCCAGCCCACCTGCTTGCAATCTGAGATTTGATCACTAGATTCTCGTAATGTTTTCTGAGAAGATGCTGCATTTTTTGACAGCAGAGATTAATGAAATGAGCAGACGCAAACCATTCAGACAGCATGATTCGCTGACAAGCCATGCATGTGAAATGTGCAGAAGGTCAGCATGTGCATGGAGATTCTCATTTGCTACCCAGTATTGTGTCACCTTTGTTATGATTTCTGAGGTATGAAGAAAGAGTTTGTACAGGACTGGGCACTTAGGGTGTCTATGCAGCTTTTTTTCATCCCTGCGGGATATATAAGCAAAGCGTGAAACAGTGGACTATTACAAAGTGGTTTCATTTTCTGCCCCTATCCTGAGGTTAGGAGAGGGACATTCCTTCAAAATGTTCTTACTGCATAATGTTTTGTTGTTACTGCTGTTTGTTATCTTTTCTAATGAACATACAAGCCGGAATTTGAACCTGCACGATGTGACTGATCCAAATAGGTGCAAATATTCGAAGCCAATCACAGCACTGAATTTGCTAGGGTTAATGTCTGAAGGGCTGATGACTTCAAAGCTGTTCAAACCAATGTATTTGATGGCTTGAAAGCAATTCAAACCACAGCATTCACCATTTTGTGATCTACAATGAATGGTTTAACATTTTTCGAACTTATTATAGTCTCTACTTGAGTAATAAGAATAGATCTCTACATTTTATTGCTCTACACTTCAACTTCTTCATTCTGAGCATACCAAAACAAGTCCTATTGGTGCAATTGAAGTTTTCTGCACTAGAGTAGATTGATTGGCCTTATTTGGCTTTGGTGGCTAAGCCACAGCTCTTGGTGTGGCTAATGACTTTCTAAGCTGGCTACATATGCTTTTGTTGCTCGAAAAATGTGCAGAAGCAAAGAGATTATTACTAAAGGCTTTAAGAGAGTATACAAATAGTTTGCGCATAGCTTTAACAATGCATTTTTACAGTAACACTCAAAGCTGCTGTGACTAAAATGAAAACCCTTTTCATGCTAAGATATCAGTGACAACTTGAAACCTTGCAATGCATAGGGGAGTATACTGTATCTTCATAACTCACTCCATATGCTGTTTCTTCATTTCATCTATACAAGCAGAATACTTTATGCAATCTGAGTTTTCAGCCACTGTGGTAAAATTGATTGCTCTTATTTGCCTTTAGTGGCTGAGCCACAGCTTCAAGTGTGGCTGATGGTTTCTTGAGGGTGTTACATATGTTTCTATTGCCTGAGAAATGCATAGCAGAAGGGAAAGATGATTAAAGGCTTCATAGAACATACTGAAGTATATAAATGATTTATGCACAGCTTCAACAATGCATTTCTAACAATAACACTCAGTGCTGCTGTGGCTGAACTGTAAAACCTTAGCAGGCTTAGACATTGTTGACACTTTGATACCTAAACATGCATTATAGAGTATACTGCATGCTCATGCTTAACTTTGTAATGCTATTTCCTCATTTCATCTAAACAAGCAGAATAGGTGAGACAATCTGAGTCTTCAGCCACTATGGTAAAATGTTGAAAATTCTGATCCATATTTCGACATTTTATAATGTTTGACCACATGGATAATACACAGTACACAAGATCTTCATGCCCTGCGATGAGAACAACATGCAGATTATTTTCTGACTCAAAAAAGCGAAGATTTGAGGCTACAGGATGTTAGCCATCTAAATTCTCACACTTTAAGTTGCCACAATGTGCAAATAAGATCAAATTATGACGTTTGTTGTTAGTGCAACTAGCTAGTTGCCTAAATGATAGATGTCATAGCTTGGCATTGTGCACACAATACTTTGAGCTAATCTCAATTTCATTCCTCCAAAATTGGAAGATCTTCTTTTTGAGGTTTTGGGGCCTCAGAACATCATAATTTTAGTCTGAAAAATGTTATTTTTGCTAATGCACATAGAGCGCTGGATTTGAATCGGAGTTTGAATCTGAAAGGTGGCTGATCCAAATAAGTGCAAATGTTCATGGCCAATCAGAGTGCTGTATCTGTGGTTAATATTCATCAAATCAATTGAATTCTTTCAAAACACTTCAAACATTTGCATTTCATCATGTTCCACTATATCCAATCTGGCCAACAATATACTATCATCTGAATAATGTATCATTTAGCATTTTTCGGAGTTATGACACTTTTTATTCCTTGTTTAACTAATAGTTGTTGCAATTAGGTTTCCAGCCACCTTGATTTTCACTGTTGCCCTTCTATCTTCAGATTGGCTGCTGCTATGCTCACAGTCATATAGTACTAGAAAGGCATTCTTTTCAGCTTTCAAATGAGTATCTGTTCATTAGATATTTATGCTTTGTTTTGAAGATATGTGCAATTCTATCAGGCTCACTCATCTATACACTTTTGTCACTAACAATCCAAAGCCTCCAAACCTAAAAACCATAATAATTGGTTAATCAATTCTTTGTCCTAAGCACCGCCTTAAGGCATTAATGTAAACTTTTGATCAAACTTTGATGCACAAACCTGTCAATACCCTTTCATTTTTTTAACTGCTTTTACAATTCTATAATTTCTTTGAGTGGCCTCTCATACCTTGCTAATATGTTTTTGAGATGAGTTCAAAGATGATGTATGAAATTAAGCTTTGAAAATTAATTAGGCCATTTTGTAGTCTTAAGAGTATTCTCTTTAATCCATCTTCATGTCTGTTTAAAGTTACACATGAAATTATTATCTCCACACCTTTACTGTAATGCTTCAAGCCATTCTGAAGCTCAGTTTTCAGAATGGTAACATAAAGGTCAGAGTCATCTTGTGATCAATTTTACAGGTATACAGCCTCACATCATGAGTGATCTGTCATCATCTTCATAATACAGCAAATTTGAATCTGTATTCAGCCAGACAAGTTCTAGCCATGCTATGTTCAATATTTTAAAGTACCATTTATATATGTAGTGCATCAGAGTGTGATCAAAAGCATACATACTATACAATATACTCAATAAACATGTTGAGTGTGATTATATTTATTTATAGCAGACTTTTAGCTTAATGAATAGTTGTGAGGGCTACAGAATCTGTAAGTATGTCAGCCACTCAGGATTTGAAAATCAAGTCTAAGATAATGAAAATCTCCTTTGACACTCTGAATATTTTGATACAGCTTAAAATAACAGATATCTTGAAGTATCTTGCTACGATCATCTACACTGCCATATTTGCAGCATGATTACTAGCCATAAGCTTGTAATTTTTCTTGTGAAATTTAATGGAAGCAAAAATATCTTCTAAAACTGCTATCTTTACCTCATGATTCTTTTCCTCCTCTTTTAATTGATAAATAGCAATGTAATACTGGTCAGGATTAAGATCTGAACATGGGCTGACAAGAGACTGGCAGCTCCTACTTTCAGGTTTGCTTGCAGACCTGTTAGATGTGAGCTGAGAGGAAGATAATGAGTTTTTCACCAATTTTAATATGTGTTTCAAACTGCTCATGAGAGGACACCATCAAAACCTTGCTGCAGCTCTTACGACAAAATTTGCATTCTGTGCTTCATCTCTTCCCTTTCAGCATAATGCAGTCTAAGTCCTTCCTGAAGCAACAGAAACACTGCTCTCATGATCTGCCATAGGCAATGTCACCAGAAATATCAGCAGTGATGATAGAGAGTGCATCGCTGACTATGCTATCAGACTCAAAATCTGCTGATGCGGTGACAACAAGTGCAGATTTGGGTCCAGTGATAATGGTGATAGCATCCTCACTGCTAGCAACTGCTGATAATTTGCTGTCTGATGAAGGAGTGAGCTTCAAATTTTTGCTAGGAGAAGATAGTGAAAACATCAGTGAGATCTGATCCACTGACCACTATGGCATCAACAGCCTACCTGCCACTAATGTTGAGATCCTGGGCACCTGAGGCATGCTGTGTCATCTCATTCATGGAGATTACAATTACAGAAGATGAGACATTTGTCATGATGGTGGACTGTGCATTGGGAATGATATGACCTGGCAGGCCACTAGTAGAATGCTTCATGTCATCCTTGACTAGTGCTTTCTTGTTCACAGTGGGCATATGCTCCTCCACCTCCATCACATCATTTATCACAATAGTGGCTCCAGATATGTGATCTGGGTAGTATAAAGAGGAACTTCTGAGAAGCTGGCAGTGAGCAGTTTGCATTCGACATGTGCATCGTGGTGTTCTACAGGTGAAGTATTGTCAGTGAGCTGTCATTTCTAACATGGTGCGATTTTTGCTTATTAAATTTGTGATCAGGAACTGATGATATGTCAAATAGCTTTGTACTCTAGAGACAAGCTGGTGCATCCTGTGAGAGAGATAAGCAAATCATCAGATAGTGAGATGCTGCATGAAATGGTGGTCACTGCTGGCAAGTCTGCTTGAGGAATCTATAACTAAGCATTTGTCTGCATTGCCTAGTACCCTGTTCATCTGTATGTGCTTGCAAACATTGCTGTTGTTCAAGTTACAGGCCATGGTCTGTGAGATTACATAGATGTGAGATGTTCAACAAGAGAAGCATGAGAACATTTGAGGTAGAGAACATGGCCAACAGGGCACCTCTAATAGGAAGTACATACTGTGGACCTAAAGGGGTGAAGATGAACAAGCATTCAAAAATAGTCAACTGAGAACAATGATTAGTGCAGAAATGAATGAACAAGTATCATTACCTCAAATGTGAATGCGTGACTGTGAAGTGGCACTGTGTCATGATATGATGATCATGGTAGCAGCTGATAAGCTGCATCCTCACACAAACCATTCTATATGATTAGCATAGCGATGTTCAATGCCTTCAATTGCATCCTGCCAGCCATGGCATACAGCCATCATAAACACTACCAAGGTTCATGACATCCTGGAAGTGTAGATTGAATGCTCAGAAAGGAAATCAAGGGCTGTAAATAGCTGAATGGTGGATTCAACCAAGTTTCAGATAATGAAAAGCTCTTCTGAGGTCACTCTAAATATTTCAACACAGCTCAAAATGGAATAAATCTTGCAGTATCATCAAGGTTCATGATATTGTGGAAGAGGGGAATTGAATGCCCAGGAAGGGCATTGAAGGGTCTGAGGGCCCTAATTGGTGGCCTCAACCAAGTTTCACATAATGAAAAGCTTTTCTGAGACCACTCTGAATATTTCAACACAGCTCAAATCATGCAGTACTCTCAAGGTTCATAACATTGTGGGGAAGGGTATTGAATGCCTTGAAAGAACATCAAAGAGCTTGAGGCCCTGCTTTGTGGTCTCAATCAAGTTTCAGGTAATGAAAAGCTCTTCTACATATTACACATTGCAGACCCTGCAGCATCTCATATCATTGAAAAGATGACACAGATATATACATAGACTTTGCTGAATCTCATCCATAACATCATGTTACTCTAAAAACTGCTGCATCTTGAACAATCACACCATTTTTGATTTCTATCGATGAAACTGATATTTTAATGTGAATGAAAATATACAGTGTGGTGAATATTTATAATCAAATTATAAACTTAATTATGAAGAATGTCAGGACGTCAGAAATTGTTTCTGCCAGAAATGGCCCTCTTACCCAAGTATGAGCAAGTGTGGATCAAATGAACAGCATGTCAGCGAGCTTATTTGGCTTCACTTCACATTAATATTATGTGTCACTGCTCTAATCTGCCATCGCTGTCTCATGAAGGACTCATCTTTTCTGCCTTCATCAATGAAGGTTCTATGGATATGTGCAGTCTGCATTATAGAGATGTTATGCTGTGAGTTCATGCATTGTTGGTGAGGTGCACAACTAATTTAGCCACCGATAGTTCTTGCTTACTCTCATAGAGGGAGCAATGGCTCAAGATTTATGCCCACTTTGATGTCGAGTGGGCTGTATGCCATACTAATTGTCTTCTCAACCATAGCAATGATTCTTGAATTGATGACCTGCTCATTGCTTCAGTTGCATATTTTCACTACGATTGGAGTTTGTGCATTTGACGTATTTGCACTCTTTTCATTAATATTATGTGAGTCAATGCATCCTATCTATGTGCACTTCTGATGCTCACATAGACCTAGCATGCTGTTATGATGAGCTGAAAAGATATTTAACAATGAAGACCTGCCTATCTTTCACCATATTCATCCTAAAAACTTGGTCAGGAAGCATTCAGATCAGTGACTGTCTTTGATATATTTATTTATGACCCTTCTGACCAGTGGTTGCAGTAATAAATCAACAGACTACAGTCTATGATGTCTTACGAGGCTTGAATAAATGGCATCTAATCACTAATCTATCATGAGTCTGACCTGCTCTCTTCTATGATGGTTATACTCGTGCTCCTTTGCATGAAGCTATGGTACTTTATGACCTTGAAGTGCAGGAGCTTTCTACTCTTCACTGTAGATATCATGTTATAGGAGGATCTGGAAGTAAGCTTCTATCTTGCAGCTTTTCAGTTATTTCTGATGATATCACATAGTGTCGACATCAAATGTACAGAGAAAGTGGCAGGTAGGGCAGAGGATGGAACATTAGCATGCAGATCAGAAACAATTCTGAAAAGCACATTGCGCTGATGAATCGAATGGATATGGACAGCCACTGGAGGGCCCTTTCACAGCAGAAGAATTCTGTGACATAGGATGTCAAGCAAATTGCCACATGTGCAAGTCAAGAGCTCAATGGAAGAGTCAAAAGCTGTCAGGTTTTAGGGGTTCTAGCATTCTAACACATGCCCTACCAGTTCTTTCATTATCTCAAACTCCCAATTTTCAGGCAGGTCCATCCATCCAATACAACAATGCATATGTGAAATGTGTGTGGGCTGACCTAGCTTATCTGCAAAATTATATTACTCATTGTATCTCGAATATTCATCTTGTCAGCCCACTTGACTTTGATTCTAATAATGTGAATGAGGATGCCGATGTTGCTTCAAGTCTCCTATTCCTGAACAGCAAACACAAGAACAACATCTTGTTCCTGAAGCATGAGAGTTGGCTGACCTCTATGCTAGCAGAGGTACAAGTGCTGCCTTCTTTCAGGCATTCTCAGTTCAATCAAGGACAAGCTGATTTGACTGATTACATTCAATGTGAAATCGACTTTCTAGAGAATTTTCACGATTGAGAGTGACAGTGGCCTAGAAATCATTATGTCAAGAAAGCTGATTCAGGAACAACGTCACAGATGGTGGAATGCAGCATTAACGTTTGTGCTGGTGTGTAAAATATGTCGATCACTTCACCTGCTACTAAATTAAATTAATCAGGTCAATCCTTACATATCACTTGGTTGCTTAGATGATGCATCTTCTGCATAGATTGCCTCACAGGGGGAGCAAGATTCTCCTCAGTGGCCTTTGTACACTTGTAAACTTGTCAACTGCTTTCAGGAGAAAATGATTGAATTCTGCAGAAGATAGCATTATTCTCACAGAACTACTGAAAGACATCTGCACTGTCTGCTGAAACCTTGATCTTGACCTGCACACTCAAGCATATGCATCTTGCCCTGATTGTTGTGCACTATATAAGCAGTAATGCTGTCCTAAATGTTGTCAATATCGTGAAACTCCAAGTAGTGAACCATGTAGATTGCAGCTGTGGTGGATGTGCACCATCAGGAGGAAGCAGTTTGCCTATCCTGTGAAACTGTTTCTCTATCAGAATATGAAACACTGGCTGGCCTGGCTGTTATCTCATCCAGAGATTGAAAAGATAATGAATAATGCCAATCAGAGAGCCCAAGCATCTGAGAAGGGTGCACAATAAGATATATGGGATGCTCCAATTGTGCAGGCATTCAAGGATGCTGAAGATGTTAAAGCATTTGTCCATGCTCCTCCAGGTGAAGCGTGATATCTCTTTGGTCTATTTGTTAATGGATTTAACCCCTTTAATATAAAGGTTGCATAGCAGAAAGTCACTGTCACAGATACCTATATGGTTTGCCTCAACCTACCTCTGCACCTGCAGTACCTATCAGAGAACTCCTATCTGATTGACATCATTTCAGGTCCTCCAAACCTTCTTTAGATTAGATAAATCACTTCCTTGAGCCTCTAGTCAACGATCTCCTTATATTCTGGCAGTGAAGAGTGTTCATCAATAAAACATTCATGTATGCTCAAGGATGAACAGTTTGCTGCACAATGATACCATTAGTGTCACAGCATGCTGATGACAAAGATACACCATCCAAAATAAGAGTCTCCTTGAGGGTCTCTGGATAAAAGCCAACAGCGACGAGCTATGACAATATGATGTGCTCACTGATGAGACTGCAGTTGGTAAGACTTACTGACAAGGTAAGGGGATGCTATCACAAGTAGAGAATGTATCAGATATATATCACACTGAGAGTGTCTGGTAAGACCTCGCTGTGATGGTAGTGGTGGACGAAGGAGAATAAGACTGAAGATCTCTCCTCATTTTCCCTGATCCTTATATACATGATTGCTAGGCTACTATACAGTACTATATAAGTGAGTCACATGCTACTCTACTGGACAGTGCTGCAATCATATAACTTGTCTCAATTGTTCTAATTGGCTGCCTAATAATAATTCACAAAGACGGAGCTCCTCCTGAGCATGCAATATAATGTTATGGCAATTGCAACATATGATGCAATGCCAAAGGGCTCAGTGTCACATGACTATGCCAAGAGAGATCTGGGGTCATGTGACTGAATGCTCAGTTATCTTATCTCTCATTAGGTGACTCTTGTATGACTTGAAATAATAAAAAATAATATGTTCCTTGTAATACATGTTCCAAAATTGATCTTGTCAGGTAAAACTGTGATATCATCCCTTCTCAAGATTTATTGTTCTAATGAGCCAAAGCCTTTGGTGCCATGAGTGATTTGCTTGTGTATGGATCTGTTCACTTTCGATATGATTCTGAAAGCATAACATTTGCATATGAGTTGTGCCACACAACTGCCTGTCTTGACCTCAAATGGTTCACTTATTGTGTTGACTAGCAGAACCTTGATTTTCCCTGTAAAGTCTGGATCAATTACATTTGCAGCGACATCGATTCCTTTGAGGGCTAATCTACTTTTGGAAGCCACTTGAATGTATGTCCACTTTGAAGAGTCAACTGCTAGCCCTGTTCTGACGAGTATCCTGGACTGCAGAGAAATGTTTACATTTTCAGTTGACTTAATATCTCAGCTGACAGCATTAGAGAATTCCTTGTACAGTGCTTTAGCATTTGAATTAGTGCAGTAGAAGACCATAAATTTATCTGAGTGGTCGAACATGGTGATTCTGTGTCCTTTTCATATTCACGGCTTGGCTCTTGGAGCGTCTAAGTATGCCTTATGAAATTCTTCTACAAAGCCTTTGACATTGGTGAGGTTTTTCAGTGAGTTTCATCTATTATTGCCATAGTCATAGTCTTACCATTTTACGAGATATTGGATTTTATTATACCTAACTTGAGAGTCCAGGATCGCTTATACATACCACTCTTCCTCTCCTTCTATGATAATGGGGAAATTGGGAGGTGATGTGTGTCTGGAGACAGAGTCTTGATGGAACATGATCAGCTTAAAAGCATAAAACACAGGATGTATTTTCATGTCCACTGATAGTTGCAGCCTGAATGATACTGGTCTGATCTTTTCGAGAAATTTAAATGGCCCATAGTCATGAGTCACAAATTTCTGACTTTTGACTTTGACGTAAAGGTCTTTTTCTCGAATAAGCACTTCATTACCTACTTTGAAAGGGACATCCTGCTTTTTAAGATCAAAATATCATTTCATCTTTTAGCTGCCAACAACAAAGCTGTACGTGCTTGTTCCTGTGCTTGATTATGGTTCTGAAATAGATGTTTCAGGAAAGGATATTGCACCTCTTCAAATGCATCTGGTGTCATTTAGAGGTGTTGATCATGCTCAATAAAGAACGGAGACAGACTGGTTGATTCTGAAGCCTGGCAGTTGCATGCAAACTTTGCTGTAGGTAATAAGGTAGCTCAATCAGTTTGTCGATAATTGCAATACATGTGCAAATGTTGCTCCAGTATTTGATTAACTTGTTCTGTCTGTCTGTTCATTTTTGGGTGATAAACAGTTGACATTGTTAATTTAATGTGAAGTTTCTGGCAGAATTCTTGAAATAGTTTGGCTAAGAATTGTGTTTCTCAATCAGAAATGATATGTCTAGGTATTTCGTGAAGCTTGAACACTTCAGTATGAAAAATTAATGCTATCTGAGATGCTGTTACTGTGTCATCTACTGAGTAGAAGTGAGCGTGCTTGGTGAACTGATCAATGACAACTAGTATAGCTCTCTTTTTCTCTCCTCTGTAGTTTGAGCTTGGAGATAACTAGGTAATTAGATCACATGTTATCATCTTTCGTGGCCCTTCTGGTATCAGATTGAGTTGTAAAAGTCTATAGGGTTTTTGCTGACTTATCTTGTTTCTTTGACATATTACGCAACCATCAACATACTTCTTAACATCAATGGTTAGCTCTGACCACCAATAATTTCTGCTGACTAGCTTTTGAGTCTTCCATCATCTAAAGTGTCTGACTGTAGAGATGTCATAATATAGCTTGATCAGCTCATTCTGCAGCATAGAGTCCTTCAGAACATAGACCTTTCCTATTCTGAGCAGCAATCTATGCTTGAAGTTCCACTCTTGAAGGTCTTTTCTGAACTCTCGCTTGCCAGATTTTAGTAGGTGCCAGTAACCTTTGGTCATTTTGCCATTTTGTAGTGCCAATTTCACTTGTTGCAGAAGTTGTGCATCGTCAACTTCAGAGGCATAAGTGGTTGAAATTGCATGAATAGCAAGATATTTAGACTAAAGTAAGATTTGTCCTAAATTGTCATTGCTCACCTCCTTTTCATGATCTGGCCTCCTGGACAGAGGATCAGCATGCATCATCGTCTTTCTGGGATGGTGACAGAGTATAAAATTAAAACAGATGAGGTAAAGGGACCAGCGAGCTTGTCATCTGATCAACATTTAAGCTTGTCAAAAATAGGTAAGAGTGAGGTGATCCGACCACATCTCAACTGGCTGAGGGTGTCCTTAAAGTACTGTCAATATGCTTCAAGGATCTGAATGATGACTAGCATCTCTTTGTCATAAATTTTATAGTTTTGCTCATGTTCATTCAGTGATTTAGAGTGGTAAGCAACAGAATGCCAGAGCTCGTCCTCTTCCAACTGCTCTAGAACTGCACCTGTTGCAAAGTTCGAGGTGACCATTTCTAGTCTGAAGGGACAGATGGCATTGAGGAGGGCTAAAATGAGGACTGAAGTAAATGCAGTCTTGAGGACCTTAAAAGCCTTTTGTTGAGGTTCTTCCCATTTTCAGGGTGCATCTTTGCATGTTAAAAGAGTCAAGAGTCAGGTTATCGAGCTGAAATTCTTGATGAATCATCAATCAAAATTTGTCAGACCAAGGAATGCTTGCACTTGCTTGACCTTGGTAGGCATAGCCACTTGAAAACACTATTTACCTTTACTGTGTCCATCTGTATTGACCCTTTAGAGATTATGAGTCCAAGAAACTTGACAAAAGTGGTCGCAAAATGACACTTTTCAGGTGTTACAAACAGATCATTATCTCTAGTCACTGAAGGACCTCCTGAGTTAAGCGGGTGTGTTCTTCTTGATTATCAGTAAAAATGATTATGTCATCTACATAGCCTGTCACCTTTTCTATGTGAATGAGATCTTTTAATATGTCATTCATCATCGCCTGGAAGGTACTAGGAGCATTACAGAATCTGAAGTACATAACAATTGGTTCAAATAAACCTCAGTGGGTTACAGTGAGCCACAAAACTGTTGCAACAGTTGCATTGTTTGGGTTATATCTCAGAAACAAAAATAGCTAAATATGTAAACATATATAATCTTTAAAAGTCTATGATATGAGCTTTCAAATGGCACTTGAATAAAGTAAATCGGCCTACTGGTTAGTGAGATATAACGTATTCTTTACAAAAGATGCATTGCAACAGTTTTGTGGCTGACAATTTTAGATATAAAAATTCTCAACTTCAGTACTTTGTGTACCCTTCCTTTGCCCTCAACACAGCTCTAACCCTGTCTGGCATACTATTGATTAAGTTCTGACAGACAGAAGACTTCAATACCATTCTATTCCTTCTGTACCCTCTTACAAAGTTCTGCAATTCCTCCAGGTGCATTTTCATATGCTGCCAGCCTTCTTTTGAGATGGTGCCAGAGGTGTTCTATGGGTTGAGGTCTGGAGACTGTGCAGGCCATACCATAGTCTCAAACTCATGCTCCTCTAGCCACTTCCTGGCTTTCTTGCCAGCGTGCTTGGGGTCATTGTCTTGCTAAAATACCACATCCTCCATTCCTCTATGCTATTCTGAAGTTCATCCTCCAGAACAGAAACATAAAGGTCAGCATCCATCTTGCCATCGATTTTGCAGGCATATCCAATTCCTTCCCAGCCCATACACCCCCACATCATGAAGCTTCCTCCTCCAAACTTGAGTGTCCCTTCTACCAGCCTATCACTGAGTTCCTTCTCTGGCTTCTTCCATGCCCATTTCCTCCCATCTGACCCTAACCTGTTAATTTTCATTCCATCTGACCATATAACCCTCTTCTAGTCCTTTACAGTCCAGTGCTGATGGCTAACAGCAAAGTCCAGTCTTTACCTCTTATCATGCTTAGAGAGAAGGGGACATTTATGCTTGACCACAGCCTTCAGACCAGTGCTTTTGAGCTTTCTACACATAGTCTCCACATGAAGGGCTGGTTGACAACATCTTGGAGAAGTTTGGTCACTTCGACAGCAGTATCTGCCTGTTCAGCAGTAAGAAGGGGAGTAGCATGGTGAATGATTCCAGGATTAAGCTTTGTAGACCTCCACCAGATGTAGGCATGTTAGAATGATGCTCAGAGCAATGCTGAACACAATGGAGTAACGGACTGCAGTCAGATGAGCAATCTGTCTGACAGAATGACCTTGATCATGATGGTTGTGTTGAAGTTGAACAGTCTATTGAGTGTTGATCAACTCATGTAGAAGTTCAACAAAGATCACATGATCCAAACTTTAAACTTAAAGCAAACAAACTTCTGCAAGGAGGTATTTTTGTCTTCAGAAGTGTCAGCCACAAAACTGTTGCAATGCATCTTTTGTAAAGAATATTTTGTATCTCACCAAGCAGTGGGCCAATTTACTTTATCCAAGTGCCATTTGAAAGCTCATATCATAGGCTTTCTAATAATATATATGTTTGCATATTTAGCTATTTTCATTCCTGAGATATAAGCCAAACGATGTAACTGTTGCAAACATTGCAACAGTTTTGTGGCTCACTGTAACTTGTTTATTAGCCATCAATCTTGGAGGAAAGTTCATGTGCTTGTGTCCATTGCATTAGGATTCTTTGAGATGGCCAGCTTTGATGCAGAGGTCTGTCCAGTTAGTTTGAAACCTGAGATCTGCTGTTGATGTTTGATCTCGATCTCGAGATAAAACTTGAGATAGTCCATCCATGTGGTGGGCATCCTTGTAGATTTCAAAGTTTCTGTGACTGACATAACCATTTGAATGTGAGCTGACCATTGATTCCTAATTTTGACGATCAAACCTTGATCAGAATAGCCAGATTCAGGTGCATAAGGCCCTGAACTGTTCGGCGAAGTGATCATTGTCTTGTGGCAGATTGTGCAGTGTGACTCTGGCATTGCCTGTGCCATGCGCTTAGAGTCAAGCATCTTATAAGTCATCTCCAGTCCTCTGTCTATGTGCCAACTGGTTGTCTGGTGGAGAGCTTGATTGTGTACTCTTTCATATATAGAGCAGCTCCTCCTTCCAGATACGCATTGGCTTGCCAGATTTTGTCCTTGTCGTTGATGAAACTGTTGTAGTCGAGCCAGATTTGAAGGTTCATGAACCAAGTCTCGAAGTTTTCTGATGATTTTCTCTCTGAATATTTCAGAGGGTCTGGGAGCTTAATTCTGTTGGGCACTTGAGCTGATTAATCAGCCGATTGTGAGATACCTGGAGGTGCATTGATGATAGTATTGTTGAGCTGAGTTTTCAGCCCAACAATGTAAATTGTGGTCTTCTCCTAAGCCTCTTTCAGGGAGACCATGTTGGCATAAAGAGCATCTGTCTGGCCCTTTATTTACCTCATTGTTGTAGTCCTCGAAGTCTTTGTGTACTGATTGTGCTTCAAGAACTACGTTATTGTTCATCTTAATAAGCCTCTCGATATCCGCTAAGAGGCTGCCGATCTGGGCTCCTGTGACTTTTAGCTGCTTGTGGTGATCTGCTGCATAGTCATGTGGATATATGTGGGCCATGACCTCTTCTGCTAACTGCTCGACCATTCACATTCCACATTCATTTCAAGTCATAGAGCCTCATAAGCCTCTACTACATCTTGCATGATGACTGAGCGAATGACATTGAGTGCCCATTTCTTTATGTCATGAGGAATGGAGGGTGACACAGCGGTGTTGGCAGCATCATTCACAGTATCATAAGTATCCCCTGCCATTCCCATATTCAAGAGGTTGTGAATTCTGGCAGGGTGGTTGATGAGAGGTTTCATACAACCCCAGATGCCCTGAGCATACTGTCTGTTGGCTGCTGTTCAGGGGTACAGCTTGCTCCACTTCAGATGATGAGGAACTGGCCTGACTCCTTCAGAGATCTGTCGGTTCATCCGAGGTTGTATTGAAATATTGGTATCAATTTGATAGATAGAAGGAAGGATGATGATGATGCTTGTGTTGTTCCTCCTCAGGTTAGGTTAGATATTCTTCTGTCTCTGATTTTGGGTCATGTAGAACTCACAGTGGAGCGTAGATAAATTCGTGGTCAATGCAGACAGTGTAATGATATAGCATGAAAGAGGTTCGTGCTACGAGGGGTTGATAAATAAAATAGCCTGTACAGGTGACGTGCAAGATGTTTCTGAAGTAAGTGTCAAGGAAGACTGGGTTCAATGATGTAGTTATCAAAAATGAAACTGATCTGATAGCATGGCATTCACATGATACAAATGTAGTCCTAGTACGGTCAATAGCACCTTTTCTTTTCAAACTTCACAAGGTCCTTTCCTACTTGCTCCTGCTTCTTATTGATCCTCTTGAATGAGATCTTCCTTAATCTTACACAAAGCTTGATGGTGATGCACCTATCGATGAATGTAAAGTTATCACCTCATCCAATGTGCTTGTTGAGCACTCCTAAATGCTGAATCATTATGTCTCAGCACTTTATTTGCTCCTCAGTGAACTTGGCAGTGATATGCGGCTGCTGCAACACTTTGTATCGCTGAATGGTAGCATATACAGTAGGTGCAATGTTCTCAGAGGGTGTTCCTTTGAGATTCTCGTGGATTCCTTGCAGGTGATACCTCTTTGAAAGAGCGAAGTTTAGGACGTCGATGGCAGGAAATGTAGCATATAAATGAGAGAGAAGAAGTGAATCACGGGAGTTGAGCGTGTCAGATGCCTTTAAGCCAAGTGCTGACCTTGAGCTGCTTGCGATGCTCGACGATGCATCCTAGAGAAAACACTTCTTTTTGCTAAGCTCAGATTGCTCTGAGTCAGGAGATTGAGTAGTGAGCATGTAGAGTATAGAGATATCATCTGTTGGGCAGTACGATGCTGTTATGTACTTGAAGAACTTTCCGGTCGATGCAGTGCTGTTCTTTTTGAAGGAAGGGAGCAGCTTGAGTGATAGAGATGCAGAGAAATGATATGAAGGATGTAATTTGAAAAGAGCCCTGCCCTAAGCAGAAGTTTCTCTGGGCGAAAATGTGCGACAACCAGTGTCAGACACTTGGTTGGGGTGTAGAAGATCAGTATTATTCTAATGTCACAGCATGTCGATGATAAAGATAGACAACTCAAAATAAGAGTCTCCGGGTAAAAGCCAACAGTGACGAGCTATGGTAATACGACATGCTCACTGATGAGGTCACAGTTTCAGCCGCAGAGTAAGACTTACTGACGAGGTAAGGGGCGCTATCACAAGTAGCACACTGAGAGTATCTGGTAAGACCCCTCTGTAATGCTAGTGCTGGACGAAGGAGAATAACACTGAAGATCTCTCTTCGTCTTTTCTGATTCTTATATGCATGATTGCTAGACTACTGAACAGTGCTGCAATTATATGACTTATCTTGATTGTCCTAATTGGCTGCCTAATAATAACCCACAGAGATGGAGCTCCTCCTGAGCATGCAACATGATCATAGCAATTGCAACATATGATCCATTTGTTGTCTGAAAAATTGACTGCACCACTGTCCAAGCATCGAGATTGCACCACTGCTTTGGCTCCATCCTCAATATTCTAGTCTTTTCAGCATAGCCACGTGCCTGAATCTAGTTGACACCATGCTGATGCCGTTGTTGAAAGTGCCTCAACCCACCCTTCATTAAGAGGCAGAAGTTGAGTGGCAGATCCCATGAGAATTATCAATGTAGTGTCTGAGGCCCTTAGCAATATATACTCTTGGAAAGTTGTTCGCTTAAGAAGGGTGCATTCAAACATCATATGCTCATCTCATGGACAGGGGTTCGAGTGGAAAAGCTGTAAGACACTTTTTCGGTCAAAGGAGAAGCCTTTAAGAGTGAATGCCGAGACGTCTCCAGCAGCGATGTCAATTTGGTGCATACATGTAAGTGAATACATACACATTCAAGCTATACACATTCAAGCTATATAAAGTCTACATACCTTCCTGATACATAGCAAGCATCTCAGCTGCCTTGCACCAATGAATGCACAATCAGCTTGCCTGCAGCCCTCTGCAGGGCCCTTGATAACCTCAGTTAGGACAGATATGGCATGCTTGCTATATGTGTCGAATTCAGGGAGTACAAAGGCTCGGGTCAGAAAGAATATCCGGAGCGCTCGTACAAAAGTTGAAGAAATTGTCTCATCTGACTAGCTCTGTGCAGCTCTCCCTGATGAGCAGATCATTCGACATAGCAACAGCTCAATGCCTGGACCAATCAGAATGAGCTATTCTCGGCAAATATTCAGGCACTTACTGTGTTCATGTATACCGGCCCCCTCCATGGTCATACGCAATTAGTTGAGATGCAATTGATATCAGGATAGAATCAGTGTATCCCACCGGTTTGAGGTCGAACACACTACCAAATGCGATCTCAGTGTCAGCACCTGAACAGTGATAGTTTTCACGAGTGATTTGTCAGCATCAACATCAGCCAGCATAGCAGGGCAACCAGAATGTCTCTATTGAGCAATGTAGTGATGGATGTGTAAATGAAACATGCTGATGTTCAATGTCTTTGTCTGTATACATTGCCCTCCGTAATGATTTGATCACCTTGAGCGTCGTTCTGTCTTGGATAGCAACGATGCTTGCAGACAAATGAGGGCGAAAATGAATTATGATGAGTGCTTTTATTCCTACAGATCGTTCTTCGTTCTTCTATCTTCTCTGAGCTGAGCAGGAATGGTCTGTCGAGATGAGCTCACGCATCTAACGTTCTGAGATTCAGAACAGGCACAAGAAGATGCCCAGGTGATGTGTAGGTTTCTGCAGATGTACAGGATTTGAAGATCATTGATAAAATTGCAAGTATATGCTGTGGGTCTGACCAAAGAGGACATGAATAAGCCTCAGGTGGGGTTCACCTGCTACTGTACATTCTGTGGATGAGTGCTCAGTGCTAGATTGGTATCTCCTGTCTGGTGAAAAAATGCGTACATCTTTGGTTATATATAGGATGTAGTGGTGAGCTGAAGATAGGCAATCCATGCAATTTCGTAAGCTTGACAATAAAGATGTACACTTGGATGTTCCACTCATCATTATATGCGCGTGTATAGCTGAATCTTGCAGTCAAGGCCAAAAAGAGGTGCAACCAGAAGAGCCTTATTGGCCTTACGTTTAACACTATCAGTGTCAGATATGGTGTCCTGCAAGTTTGGAATATAAAATAGAACTATTGACATGTGTTGTAGCGATGTTATTATCATGGTACAAACAGTAAGTCATTATAGACATTGTCTGTGAGCATACATTAAGATAGCTTCGTTCAGGCATGAGATACTCGTATGTCAAGCTGGTGTTTTATTCGAATAAAGTAATCCACAGGCTCACGAGTGTGACTTGATTACCAACTCAATCGAGGCTGTGTGTTGATTTTCATTATCAGCATACTATTGTGCTCATTATTTGCACAGGTTACAATGATGCATACATCCTCCCTAATATGCTTCGGGAAAGCTAAACTGGCATCCTAGACAATACTATGACAAAAACATCTCGATCCCCGAGGGTAGTATAAATAAAATCCATGTCATGAGGGCGTTTAGGTTAGATACATGCCTAGAACAGTCGTGACTACCACTTCTATAACATTTACTGTCCTTGCGAGCTGAAAAGAAATTGAGTATCAAAAAGACCAGTTGTACATTGACTTTATGCTTTCAATAAACTGGCTTATCTGTTTGACATCTCGAAGAATGATTTGAACAATTCAATGAGATAATTTCAGTACATGTTTTATGTGGTTATGATTTAGACAACTTAATACAGACATTTTAAACGAATGTTATACATCTTCCGATCCATTTACACAAAATATGTCAAATTGAACATGATTCAACTCTATCTGAAACCAAGGATGCATTGGATTAAAATTAGTCAAACTTCTGGAAATTGAACAAGGAGTGGATATCGCAGAACTGTCTGACGGCGCTCGGCTTACAAGTTTAAAGGTTCGCAAAGGGGGTATTTAGATTTAACAATGTTAGTATATGACTAGTACTTAATCCCTTCCAAGTTTCTTCCCAAACCATTGTTTTTTCAAAAGTGCCAGAATTTATGGCCATATAGGTTTCAGCATGATCCTTTTTAAATATCACCAGAAGTTCCACCAAACCAGTCCCCAACTCCTGTGCTCACTTAATGAGATGAGTCTTGTGAATGGAAGATCCCTCTCTTATCAGGATCATTCACATTCTGACTTTCTCCATGGCTATTCTCAGCTTTTCAGCTCCTGCATGGCATAATAGATATGTTCGCCCTTTGCCTTCAAACACATGATAGCCTGCATTGCTGAAGCTTGCAGATGTGGCCAGCCTTTGTTGCAGAATAGTGCTGCCGGCTGTTGCTAAAATGACTCAATACTAAGTATTGGAAGCATATGTGGTTTATTTACCTTCACATATTCTTGCATAGTCTCCGAGCACTCATCAATTTGCGCACCATGGTCAGTACTCCGGGTCAATCTGGACTGCTCAATCAGGCCTTCAAGAAAATGGTACGGTCTCTCGCGACTACAAAGAGTTGGTTTAACGACTATTC